ACTATTTTTTTCCTTATCTTATTTATTTATTTTATTTTTTCCTTTTATTTTATTCTCTTTATCTTATTTGTTTTCTTTACCTTGTTTATCTAACACATTTCTCAATTTTTTAAGGATATTTTCAAATCAATTTAAGGTAAGTAATCAGGATCAAATTTTACCTTTTTATTTAAAATTACAATTTTCTTAATTTAAGACAACTGAAAATTATGTGGTACCGAAAGGGCGGTTCAAGGGTGCTAATCCTTCCTTGACCGTAACCGACTCCCGAACTCGACACGTTTCTGGTACAACGCAGATCAGGTAAAATGGTATCCGACCCACCTAAATTCGTTTTAAAGTGGTCGGTGGCGACTCCCAATCCATTTTCCTAAGTCGAAGCCCAATTTCGGGGCCTAACCGAAAGACGGTTGCGACATTATCAAATATAGATTGGTTGATTGATTTTTAAAATAAAATAAAATATTCAAAATATTAACATGGGGTTTTCAACGGTAGTAACATCTAATGTATCTAAAGTGATAATATTTGTAACGTTAGACACCTGAATAAAAAAATAAAAATAGACACCACACTGAGAAAAACAGTATAATTTAAGCACTTATTTTCTAATTAAGCCATAAATTTATTATAAACGTTTTAATTTTTCATAAAAGTTAATTACATCACATATACTCAAAGTATGACAATTATTTTAAAATGGTCCCTAAATTCTAAATGTTCCAATTTCATCCATAAAATATGATTATTATTCTAAATTAGTCCTCAAACTTTTAAAAATTTCAATTTCATCCCAAGCTATATGTATATACTAATAATATCAATTGTTAAGAAAACAGATAGGTCAAGTTATATTATTATATGTTTGAAAAAAAATTAGGTTAAATTATGATTGAAATTAATTATATACATGGATAAACTATGGATGAAATTAGAATATTCAAAAGTTTAAGAACTAATTTAGAATGAGAATAATAATTTGAAGATGAAATTATAATATTAAAAATTTTAAGGACCAATTTAAAATGAAGGTTATAATTTGAGGATATATGCTACGAATTTGAACTCTAAATAAAATATCATTTTAATTGTTAGAACAAAAAGATTATCGATAACTTTTTTTGTAAAAAACATAAATGTTAAACTTTTATATTAAAAAATTTTGATTTTATTTTATGCTTTTATTATAATGTCATTAAGGCTTTTGTGTCATTCTACTAATTATATTAGGTCATTGATATGCATGTTTGATTTTTTTTCCAAGTAGAAATGTTTGCAATTGTTGCCGTTGTTATTACTCTTTGATTTATAGAAACGTTTGATATGCATGTTTGATTTTCGAGCACCAACAATTGCAGCAGAGTGATTGAATGTTCATTATCAAATGGTTGGGATTATTTAAAACATATATTATTTTATAACTACCTTACCTTAAAAAAAGAATGATGGAGTTGTCGTTCTTTAATCAATGAACTTATTGCGGACGGTGTGTAATAATCTTGGTTATGTCGTCTTTTATGATCATTTTTTTAGTTTTTTATATTTCTAAATTTTAATGACATTTTATTTGTTGTATTTATTAAAAAATAATTGATTTTTTTAAAGTTTTAACACATTTTAATATTAAATTTGATGATATCTCTTTAATTAATATTTATTTGATTGTTTTATTAATTTAGTTCTGATTTAAATCTAAGTTGATTCCTTAATCATCTAAATAGGTCACGTTTAGGTTATGATAAATTTAAGTTGTCAATGTACGGTTATCATTATATTTATTTTTATGTTAATATTGATGATGTTTATCATTCACAACTAGTTATTAAGTTTTTTCATATCTTAATTTTTTTAAATTATTTAATTACATTTTTAATATTTTAATATAACCCATTTTATATTACCTAGTAGTTGATCTATGTTTAAAATTAGATATCTTAGAAGGAAATATAATTGTTGTCCAAATGATTATACTTTTATACATAAAAAATATACATTTAAAACAATGAGTAAATTAAGCCCGATATTTCTGTCAAAATATAGCTTATATATAACAAATTTATTAATTGATTTGTTTAAATTAAATATTATAGAAAATCTTTAGCGTTACTTAAAAATCTTAATATTTCATCGTCAAATTAACTAATAGTTAATATATTTACATTATCTTTTGTATTAAATCATATTTAGATTCAATTTTGATTCTTCTTTTATTCTAGAAAAATAAGATTCGACCATGATTAGAGATTCAGCAATAAAACCACTTACAGCCGGATGGTTCCGACAAAGCAGGGTCCCGATTCAACAATAGTTTTAGGATAAAATATGTGAGAGATTATTAAAATATATTTGAATACTTTTTAATTATTAAATTTTAAAAATTATAAAATAATTATTTATTTTTTATTCAATTATCGAAAGAGTATATATATATAATAGAAAGATCAAAAGAGATATTAATAATTAAATTAACATGCTATATTATCCTTTAGCAACAGTTACAATTGCGATAATTACTTTAACCGATAGAAAATTGTAACAATTATTTTATAGTTTTTAAAAATTTAATAATTAAAAGATTATTTAAACATAATTTAACGAGATATAGGGTACTTACCATAGTTTTAATAAAGCGAGGTCCCAAGCCTAAGCCGGACCAAATTCTTTGTACAAAAGCTCCTCCAGTCTGCAAAAGATATTTTTGGAGTCTTGAAGTACACAAATCCCATTTAACCAATGAAATTTTTCACAGTATATTGTAAAAAAAATTAGTTAGAGATTTTCAGAGAATCATATTTCCATACACACACGTATAAATTTCTTAAAACACTAGTATTTTTAACATGGTTTCAAGCTAAGCTTAAAGAGAACTTTAAAGTAGTATAATATTCAAGCTAACCTGACTTCTAAATCGATATCAAGATTAAGGTTGTAAATGAAATGAGAGAGATCATAATTATTCGAGATTCACTCGATCAAAGCTCGATAAATAATCGATTCGAATTAATTATATAATTCGATTTAACTTTTCTCAGAAAATAGTTATAAAAAAAACAGAAGTTAGCGTACCTGTGTTCCTCCTCTGTCCACGGAGTTGCTTTCTTCTTCTCATTTTCTTTTGAAGTGGAAGATATCTGATTTTCGGAATTGCAACTAGACGATAAGGCAGATGAATCATCAGCATAATTAGGAACTTCAACTCGACCGGCATCGATTTATAAACATCGTGCAAAACATATCAAAATGCACTTTCACTTCGCCGGCTGACTTTCGAGGAATCCTCTCGGCAATCTTCTTCCACCGATCTGAGGTTTCTTCCCGGAAGATAACCAACGCATCCTCAAACAGCTCATCCTCCAAACGAGTCCACTGAGTTGTAGAATCCCGTCTCGACGAGCTAGTTAAGAAAGGATTAGAGTTATTTTGATTTTGCGGAACCATATTCTTTTGAGGGTCTAGATGAACTTTCTTGAAGTTTTTACTTTATAGGTACAAATGAACTTTCTTGAAGCTTTTATTTTGCAATGCAAATTAAAACAAGACGGTTATGACCTGAACTTGGGAGGGTTTAGGGATTTTGGATTTTCTTTAGTTTCTAACGAGAATTCTCAGTCAACACGACTTTGTTATAAGGGTAATTACGCTTAACAGACTTAATATACGATTAAAGAAATATTTTATTAAAAATATTAATATTTTTTTAATATTTTTGATAAAACGTTGGCTAAAATATTTTTTTATTCTTAATAATATATATATTTTTTAATTACGTATGTACATTCTGGTGTAAACAAAACTAACCTTGTTAAAATTGTTATAGTCTTTACTTTTAGTATCAGTTTGATCATTAAAATTGAAATTAAAAAAATATATAAATAAGAATCTATATATCAACCAAAGTAGTTAAATGAAATGTTATTTTTACGGAAAAATAAAAAATTAATATTTTAAAATATCTTAATTTTTTTTAAAATCTCAAAAATAATCTCAATTTCTTAAAATTTATTATTTTATTCTCCTTTGCTCTAACCGCCGATTATCTTCGGATACCCATACATCGACAAATGATCACCCATACATCCCCGATCACCTATTGACCGATCATAATTTTTGCTATCATCTCAAAACCCAAAATTTTCAAATTCCTACACTTCAATGCCAAAAATCCCAAATTACTTAAACTTTTTAGTCAATTGTGATAATCGACCGTTTAGCAGGCTATGACACCCAGTTGTTTGGTCATTTGGTCAACCGTTTAGCCATGCAAAAGTGAGAAGCAAGCATGTGAGGGAGAGGGGAGACGCATTTTGGGAAGTGTTTTTTTAATTATTTTTTTAAATAAAAATTTTAAAATTCTATAAATGTGACACATGTCACTTGAGTTTTAACAATTATTATAGTTGAGAAACCTAAAATGATAATGTTTGTAATGTTAGAAACATGATGTAGAAAACGCAGCATAGTGGGTACTTGTTTTCTAATTAAGCCTTTATTATATTCTAAATTTATTATTGAAATTTATTTTTAATCAATAAAAGTATTTTAAAAATTTCAGATATTAATATGGATAAATAAATTTAAGGATTAATGTTGGACAGAAGAATTCGGTGTTAAGAGAGATGATTAATTTGTATAAAAACAAATTCAGGCACCAATGTAGAAAAATAGTGAGATTTAGGGATTAAATAAAATTTTATCCCAATACAAAACACAAAAGGAGGAGAAAAAAATCAGACCTTTAACCATTCCGAAGCAGCAAAGAACCTGGACTTTGCCTTTTGCAGGAGGTGACCAACTATTTTATGCCAACCAAAGCATAGATGAAACCCTTAACCAGTTAACAAAATCAAGAGAACAAGGAAAAGGAATAACTATTTTCAAAGAAAACAAAAAAGAAATTAATCAGTTCTGCATCTGGAATGTTTCTGTTCCGTGTATATAAAACCAGCAAGTCTCGTAATTCATCACCAACGTATTGATCAAAAGATTGTAAACCAAAAGCCATGGATTCCAAGCTCCAGCCTATTTACGAAGATTTCGAGGTTCACGCTGAATGGCTTCATGAAGCTGCAGACGACACATTGATTGCTTATTTACCAGGTTCGTTCTTGATCCTATTTTTGATATTTTAGACTAAAGCAATGGATTCAGTTCCAGGCATTAATCAACCTAGTAATAATCTATTTTCATCTCTAAAAATTCTAAATTCTCATATATTTTAGATGTTCTTTTTATATTTTCGATTCTTAATCTGTTCCCGCTGTTAAAATTTTATGCATGTGATTCATGCAACAGGGTTCAGGAAGGAGCAGCTTACAGTTCAAGTAACAAGTAGGGGGGACCTGAGGCTGTCTGGAAAAAGACCAGTTGGTGACAACAAATTCAGCCGTTTTACCAAGGAAGTCCCCGTTCCATCAAATTGTGACCAGAACAAAATCAGAGCAAATTACAAGGATGGTATACTTTACATTAAGATCCCGAAACTGATCGCCCCGGTCGACGGGAAGCCGGAAAACTCAAAACCATCGGCCGAAAACCCGATTCCAGACTCCGATCTAAGGGCTGCAGAGGTTCCAGAGAAACAAAACAACAGTCTAGAACAAGGAGTTCAGAAAAGTCCTCCCAAGGCCAAGGAGGCCGACAAAGTTCCAGAGCAAACACCACGTAAACAGAAGGAAATCGAAGATAACAGCAAAAGCAAGGCATCTAATGAACCTGATCATCCCGGGCTGATGGAGAAGGACATAAATGGTTCGGATCAAGAGGAAAATAGTAGTTCAATAAGCGAAAAGCCTGCTGATTCAGGCCGATATGCTCTTAAGAAAACTGATATATATTGGCAGCTAGGGATCCATCATGAACGAGTTATTGGGGGGTTAGCCAAGGGGATGAAGAATCCAAGGAAAGTTATGAACATGGTTTTGGCTGTTCTATTGATCGCGGCGCTTGCTGTTTACGTTAGGAATGCGGTCATGTCTACGAGGAACTACTAGAACTAACCCTTGTGAGAAGTTAATATCGAATGCAGTTTCTAATTTATGATTGTATTGGAGATTCAATAAGACATGTTTCTTTATGAATTTATTTTTTCTACCTTAATTTTATATAAATTAGATTAATTTTTCAAAACATATCGTGATATGACGGTAAAATAATAAGGGTAAATTATACAAATGCTCCTTTGACTATAGGTTACTGTTTTACTAAGTCACTCGACTATTAAAAATTACAAAATAATATAATGACTATAAGACATTGTTTTGTTGAGTCCCCGATTATTAAAAGTTACAAAATGATTACCGACTATTCATTGTGTTCCAAGCTCGTCATTTTCTATAAAAAAATTTGATGCAATTTGAGCTAGACATTGATATGTTGATTGTGATATGATATAATATGATCTCAGAATATCAAATGAATATCATATCTCAATTGGTAGGATACCATCTAGATCAAATTGTTATCATTTTTTTAATAGAAAATGACAAGTTTAGAATACAACGAATAGTCGAATGTCCATTTTGTAACTTTTAATAGTCGAGAGACTCAACAAAGCAACATCCTATAATCAGGAGATCATTTAGTAACTTTTAATAGTCAGGGGACTCTATAAAACAACACAATATAATTAGAGAATTATTTGTGTATTTTACCCAAATAATAATTATAATAATAATATTCTTAAAAAATTTAAAAATATGATTGTAGTATTCAATTGCACATACAATCACTTTGATGGTTTGTAGTCTTTCATGTAATAATTATATCAGAATGTACTTTTAAAATAAAAATGTAATCTGATATTTATATCGTACAATCACTTTGATGATATATAGTCTCTCATGTAACAGTCATATGATAAGAACTCGTTACATCACTTTTATATCACATAAAGTATAAAGCCGCCGAGCCTGAACGTGTACGTTGACTAAAGATTTTTTTAGCAAATTATGTATTTAGTCACCCACTATTGTCAATATTTTGATATGGTCACTAACCTATTTTTTTAAATCATGTCTAAAATTACATTTTTATTTCATTTTGATCACTCATTGTTACAAATAAGTAGAATTATTGACATGACAATTTCTAGCTTTTAATAATTACATAGAATTACCTTATGAAAATACGTCAGCATCATCGTTAATTTTTTTAACCGTTTGTGACCAAAATAAAATTAAAATGCAACTTTAGGTATAATTTTAAAAAATTAGGTCACTAAAATGAAACTGCATGAATAGTTGGATGAGTAATTACTTAGCTTATCTAAGATTTTTATTGATATCAAATTTATAAAAAAATGTAAAGTTTTAAATTTTGAAAAATATCTATTTTATAATTATTAGTCATGTTACATTTTATTATTTTAGGTAGTTGAATAAAGTTTTAAACATTTTAATTTATAAAAATAAATATATTTCAAATATTTTTTTATATAAAAACAACATAATATCTTTAAGATCAAATAACAAATATTTTGTTCAGTTCTTAATTAAATAAAAAAATTAAGTTAACTATAAAACATATCCAAATATAGGATGCCTTTGTTTTGAAAGGAGATATATTGTTTAATGAATATAGTATTAATAGAATTCAAAAATGGAAAATAGAAGTATAAGCGAGAAAATGCGTGCGGATTAGAGTATCAGATGCCTTAATTTGTGTCGGTCCCTTTATATTTGCTCTTTCATCCCCCTTTTTTAATTTTCATCACTTAAAGATTTTATTCAACCTCGCAGCTCACACGCTCGAGAACGCCTTCTTTCATCGAAACAAACAACGCTGAAATAGAGAAGACCATGGCCGATCAGCTTACGGACGACCAGATCTCTGAGTTCAAGGAGGCCTTTAGCCTCTTTGACAAGGATGGCGATGGTCCTTTCTCTCTCTCTCTCTCTCTCTCTCTCTATTATCTTCTTGATTTTTTCGTTTTCCTTAAGTACGGTTTAATAACTTCGATTCAGCTCTTTCTCGCAGATCTAAGAATTGCTTTAGTTTGATACTTAGCTTCAGCTTTAGTTTTTTTTTCTTTATTTAATTTTGCCACCGTTTCCTTTTTGTGATTTGATTGATGTGACGGATCTAGGGTTCCGATTTATGAATTTTAAGATTTTTTATCGAATGTTTTGACACTTGATATTTTTTTATCGATTTCAATGTCACTTCCGTTCTTTTTTCTTTTATCTGTCGGCTCATTGATTTCGATTGTTTGATCTGTTAGAGTTAGATGTTTATATGTTCAAACATGACCTGCCTATATCGTCATTTTATACTGTGATTTGTTGTATAATTTATGTATAAGATTAAGATTGACATTCTGCTGATTTGATCTGATCTATTTATTTAATCTTGATTTAGTTTCTCATTTTCTGTGTGATATTTTATTATGAGTAGTGAAGCTTCCTTAGTTTTCAATTCACTTTCTTTGAACTTGCATTTTCTACCTATATTGAAACATGGGATCATTAGCGGTCTACAGAGATGCCTATCGGTCATAAAATCATTGACATAATTGTTTCATCAAGGAAATAAGCTTTTATGTTTGTACTAAGTTTGCATGACAGTTAAAAATCTAGAATCTAAATGTGTACGGCATTGCCATGTCCCAGAAGTTCGACACTCGTGGCTTGTTTGGTTGGTTAGTTTTGTGATCTTTATTGCTCAAGCTCAACATAATATTATGTTTGGTGCTTTTACTTGAAGGATACCGGATAGTTGATCACCAGAATACATAAATGGAATCTTATTTCTTACTTCTTTGTGTAATTACATTGTTTGATATTATTAAACGATCCATGGGTTGATTGCTGAAGCTTGTACATTTAAAAATTATCAGACACTAGATTGTTGTTGCTCAATAAATTTGACTGATTCACTGCTGCCTACATCCCAGTGAACTATCATAATCAATTGTTCTTATTTGAATGAAAATCATCAGCTATCTTTTAACTTAAAATATTATGGTGTCTTTTTTTGTCTTCTTAGATTCGGTTTAATGTTTGCCTTCTTTTTTTTCCCGGCCAGCTGTATTTACTAGTGTTGCTTGTTTCTCAACCAATGTTATACGCTTATTTGTTGCATATATTTGTATCCTTGATGCAGGTTGCATTACTACCAAAGAGCTGGGGACTGTGATGCGATCACTTGGCCAGAATCCTACCGAGGCGGAACTTCAAGATATGATTAATGAAGTTGATGCCGATGGAAATGGGACCATTGATTTTCCCGAATTCCTTAACCTGATGGCAAGGAAGATGAAGGATACTGATTCTGAGGAGGAGCTTAAAGAGGCTTTCAGGGTGTTTGACAAGGACCAGAATGGTTTCATATCTGCTGCTGAGCTTCGCCATGTTATGACAAATCTCGGTGAGAAGCTTACAGACGAGGAAGTTGATGAGATGATCCGTGAAGCTGATGTTGACGGTGATGGGCAGATCAACTACGAAGAGTTCGTCAAAGTTATGATGGCCAAGTAAGGACCTCTACAATCATAATCAAGATCCAATAATGGGTTAAAAGAAAGGGATCAGGGCAGATAAGTTTGCTAAGATTCCTTTTAATATCAATAGGACATCTATGTTTCCAGTTACTTAGCTTTTGTTGGTTTGCTGTCTGTTTCTTTGTTTGTATTATTTCGTGGACTGGACCTTAATATCCTACTTGTTTGCTCAGGGTTTTTCTTTTTTGTCCATTAATGTCTGGGTTGCGTCTTATTTATCTTTAATAATTTGGTGTTTTCTTTCTATTCTCGTTGCCATGAAACCTAAAACCATTTGGAAAGATTCGTTGTTATTGCTTATTGTTGGAATTTTGAAGAGCAAGAAGGTTAAGGTCCCGACTGCTAGGGTTGGCCAAATTTCAATTGAGTTATCTTCAACTTTTAAATAAATTTAAATTCTTCGATTTTATCCTTTACAAAATTGATTTATTCGGCCCAAGCCATTTTAATTTATATACTAATTTCTTTGATTTTATTCCGGTCTTTCCAATACAAGGTTACTAGTTTCGCCCTCCGAAGGAAAAGCCATGTTCTCTTCTCTAGGCTTTCATTTAATGCTTCAAATTTCAAAAATTTGTTAAACATTTAATCTTCACACTGGCATTTGATTTCATTCGCCATTGTAATTTTTTCACCCACAAAAGACGGACGAGGTAATCTAGCCTTTACTATGGCGGTATAGTTAAATTTTTATCATCTATTATACATCCATCACAACACATTCATATTTTTATACTAACACGTAAATTTCAAATATTTTAAACGAGTAAGAGGAAATGAACATAAAAATATTAGGGAATATGTAGCGAATTACTTTTCAACACCGTAATTTCACAAACATGTGTTAATTTAGATGAAATTATGGATAAAAAGGGGGGTGAAAATAATGATGAGAGGAAGTATCTGAAATTGACGGAAGTAAAGTGAAAATACAAAAATAAATTAAAACCAAAAGGTAAAATCTTGTACCGACAGCGATACGTACCAATCTATATCCACATCAAAATGGGTACTTTGTGGTTGATTGTATATTTTCAAAATTAAAATGTTTAGTTTGCATGCCATAAAAATAATTATCCGTACGATGTTTTCATATTTACAAATATTTTAGTAATTGTTTTATATTATTTTGGATTAACATAAACTTTTTAAGTTAATTGAGGTTTTCATAACTAAGAAAGAAGAAAATTATTATATTTAAATTCGTTAAAAGATCATATAGTATAACTTTTATTTACAAATAAAACAATTATGCGACTAAAAATGATGATTGATTGATTTTTTTTAATTTTTGACAGATGGAATGAATGGTACGAAGAGAATTCGCAACATTATCACCATCATCATCATCGTGATAAAAGTCGAAGAAAAAGGAAATTCAGACTGTTTAGAGCTATGAAGGGACATAAGAAGAAAGAAGACAAGGCTCGTGAATGCGTTTTGTTATAATTTTTTTTTATCTTTTCTTTCTTGGTCTAAATTTAAAATTCATTT